CAATAAAAATCATTGATGGATTTAATACTAAATTACGCGTGTATTGAAATGCACGGGCACACGACTATTATAAACGAAATTCGATCTTGACGTCTGACGCGACTTACTCGAGAAGCGTAATTTTGATGAAATAATATAAATATGCAACATTAATTCGTAAATTGATAATAATAATTATTATCGAAGAATAATCGTATTTCCAGACAAATATTGTTAAATTTGAGAGTAAATTGCCGGTAACATTTTAAATATGTACTTATTAGGTATTTACATAGTTAAGAAATGGCGCTGTACTATTCTCCCATATTTTACATCTGAGCGCTCCTAGAATTGCGGGAATTAATCCTTTCAGTACCCACATACATCCGTTTTCAATGGTTCTCGCCATATATTTCCAACTAGTAAGGCGGGGTTTCGCATTCAAATGCTATGAATACAGCTAGACTTAAATACCACCGTCTAATTCTCACCTTATAATTCAGCATATAAATCAAACGTTCGCACAATAAGTGAAATTATCAGGATTATCCGGAATTAAGGGAAGAAATAACGAAAAGTCGCTTTTTACATTTAGGAAAATTGGCTTAGCGTACAGATTAAAATTTAACAGTTCACTGTGTTGCTTTTAAAATGCACAAAAAGTATCTTGTGATTTTTATTCATTAGTAAAAGTAGCGCCGTGACAAATGTTTTTAGATTCGCATAATTCACGTGACATAAACATGCAATTGCAGATGGAAAAACATAGAGATTATTAAAAATACAGAAGATAAAACGAACGCGCGAGGTAGCTTTCAGTGGTGTATGTGTACGTACGTGCGCGAGAGAGGGAAAGCCAGTATATTCTGACATAAAATTTAGATGTATTGCAAATTCACCAATTCGCGATGCGGAATGAAGGAGCCCGGCGTGTTCTTGTTCTCGACAGAGTAACGAATAAAGCCGCCGAGCTGGCGAGCCTAACGAGCTGCGTGTCGACGATGATGGACGACGAGGAGCAGGAGGAGCTCCGTTGCACCGGAAGCGACGTCGAGATCGAGGAGTATACCGACACCGAGGAGTCGCCATATGTCGCTTATCAGGCCGGCGGCGATAAGCTGTTCGATACGGATCGAGAGAGTTGGCAGAAGCTTCGTTTCCTGGTCACTCTGCTATCCGTTGCGGTATCAGTTACCGTCCTCGTTATCAGCTATCCGCTTTATCTCGAGAGCGTCGCCGCTGTCTCCAGCGCTTACACAGGTAGGCCAGACGTATACACGTGCACCGAAACGGACGTACCCGCGCGATAATACAGCCTTTACAGATTGAACCAGCGCGGAGGCGCACGTGATATCGAAATTAATGTGTAACGCCAAATTGAACGGCCAAGCCCAACCGGCGCGGCGGATTTCGCAATTTCGGGATTTTAGGATTAGACGTGTCGGGGATCAATTTCTCGGGATCGCAATTACTGCAAACAATTTATTTATATCCGCGAACGTTCGCCATATGCTGTGGGATGTGCGCGGCGTATAACTCCCGGGGATCTCGTCATTTCCAAAATTACAGCTCGCGCTGGCTGAATAATATCGCGGGAGAGGCGACTGACACTGTTACGCGAAGCGCTGTAATAGTGGAGGCCTGATCTCTAAAGAGAACACGTGTTCTTAAAATGTATCCTGAGAATCATGTTATCGTGGGACAACGCGGCATTTCGAATAGTTTTACGAGAGTTTTTTCAAAATTTTACCATACGTCCTGCTAGTAGAGTTCGAAGTGACCAAATTCGGTTCAGATACCAAATGCTCAACAATCAATCTGAAGATTATTGGTCTTGTCTGAATGTTGGAGCGACAATTCGATGAGTCGCTAATAAGCGACATTTTTAAGTAATTTACTTAAATTTGCTGTTTTACATATATGTTTTACAACTTTATGCTATTGTCGATATCATAAAAGGCATTGACGTGTTTTTATCTCGCTTATTAGTGTCTCATCAAATTGTTGCTCCGCATTTGGTATCTAATCCGAAATTGTTCACCTTACCCTAATTATACTTAGTATACATTTTACTAGTGAAATGTACGGTAAAATTTAAAAACAAAAAACTCAGACAGTTCTTCAAAATGTCGCTTATTAACGACTCGTCAAATTTTTGATCCGTTTGGCCACTTCACTCTACTAGTAGAATGTATGGTACAATTTAAAAAAAACTCTCATAAAACTCTTCAAAATGTATTGTCCCACGATTACATGACGTTCGGCAAAAATATTCTCTCCGTGTATTAAAAGTTGCAAGAGAGAAACGAACGTTGAAATTAAACTCAATCTTTTTTTTTTCGTTTTTGATAGTTCTACTTATGAATTTATCAACAGAGCGGATGTTTGTTTTTTACCATTATTGGCTGAAATACGAGAATGGAAATGTTTATTCGACCGAAATAGAGCGAAAGTTGACCGTTGCTCCAATTACACGGTAGTCTCATTAATATTCACGATTCAATTAATGTGGCGACGGCGGCTTCGACCTCCTCGCCCAATTCGCGACTTCTCAAACGCCTGCGTGCCCTCCCGCAGGACTCCTTTTCACTGCCCTGTGCTCCGCCTGCGTACTGGGGTTGGTGTACGTCGCCGTGGACAGGGTGTCACCGCCGCCGCCGTTAATACCGAACAGCATGCGGATCAAGATACCCCGCTGCGGCCTGATCAAAATAAGCACTCTGTACGCCCTCTCGGGAATCCTGATCACCCTGTCCCTCGATCGGAGTAGGGTGCTGTGCCATTTGCAGGACCCGATAAAGGGCATCACCCTCGTCTTCTCCCTCGTCTACTACTTCTTCTTTTGTCGGAAAAGTGAGTGCCTTACAGAAATTGAATGTTGCGTGTCATGTTGTGTGTTATCGACGTTCTGGCTTATCAGAATGAACAAAATAGCTTGGCGTTCGTGCAATCGCGGTAGACTCTTTTTTGCGACGAAGCGCGTACATCAACGATAAAGTGCAAACTTTCAGACCAAATATACCATTGTTGTATATTTATATTGAATATGGAAAGTCCTCTATTATGAGATAGGATTCTAATATTAGATAGCAGCTAGTAAGAATATTCTTAAAAGTCGCCAGAAGTAATTGACAACATCAATGATTTTTATTGACCGGCAATTTTTATAATACAGAAAATTTATTGCGAAAAATATTACCTCAGCCAGGGTTTGAACCTGGCTGGGAGGTTTGACCTCCCTTCTCTCTAGGCGGGCGTCTCAACCAATTCGACCACAGAGGCATATTATGCATTAATTCGGGAAGATTGAGAATTTATCGAGGATAATTCCGCGACACAGTGTTATCTTTAGAATAGTAAAAACTTCTCTAATTAACAAATTAATAAAATTCGTATGGCTCAAATGTGATAAACACAAATTTGAAGGAATAAAGGACTAAGAGCCGTGGCAGGGTGTTAGCGTCTAAATATTTTATTCTAGGTAAATTTATTCTGCAAAAATATGCTTGAACCTGGACCGCCCTCTCGCTGGGCGGGCGTCTCAACCAAATAATTAATTTTTTTAATTGTCAATTCCCGAATTTTATGGAAGTCACTTCTCTGATTTGGAGATAATTTTTTACGGGGGTGCACAATCCTTGTCTTAGATGCAGATTTGTGCAACTAATGCCGAGCGTGTTTTACCTCGATTGTTTTCAGTGATGAGCCTGCAGCGAATATTCTCGAGCACGACCATAATAGTGGGCTTGTTCATAAGCGTGGATTATGGTCTCTGCGACGAGTTCCGTTGTCGGGGAAGGGAGGTTTCTTCGCACACGGCCGCCATGAGGGGGACCTGGGGCGTCCGGGCGGTTTGGACGTTCGTTTACGTGGGCGCTCTTGCCGCCTTCGCCATGTTCTTCACCATGCTCGAACGCCATTACACCACCGGGGTAATTTATCATCGGCATTCTCGCGCAAATCGTAGTTTATTTGCAACATCCCGTGGGGTGTTATCCGATGATAGATCGGCGCGATTTTTATTAAAATCAATCTCGGGTGGACTTTTTAATTTCGACCCTCGTCAACGAAGGAACGGAATTTTTATTAAGTATTTTTTTATTGAACAGGAAGAAAAATGCCTTAAGATTTTTCACTCGCCCGCTAATTACGTATATTTATGGAAAGAACCGCCATTTACCGCGGATCGTTTCTGTGTAGATAACGGGTCGACCCAGAAACGTCTTCTTTTTTTTCCCCCTCTCGGATATTTGCGGACAAGTCGGTTTTTCGTTTGACATATTAGTTTTTCGGCCCACGGATTTTCGTTTCCCCCGTACAACTGGTTTCGGTGAAGCGAGTGACGTCCGCGATCTCCTGCTTCCAGCAACAGAATGTGTGCCAAATGTTGACGACGCAGCACAGCTCTTTTCTATACACGGTGTCCCGTCTGGTGTCCTCACGCGATATTCGTCGTCGTGGCTCCGAGGAGGAGGGCGGCCGACTGCTGCACGTGACCGATCCGGATCCCACGATAAAGCCGAAAAGCTACCCCAAGCCGCCGGTGATGCAAACCCTTTTTTACATACACGTCATTGCTTTCTTCGCCATTCTGACGCTCTGCTGGCTCGACACTTTGCCCGGCGTCGGCAGGGTAAGTGGCACAAAAAGAGACATCTCGCTTACCTATTATTATCGACGACGAGTCAATTTTCGAGGAATTTTTCTCGGCCATAAAAGCTTCAACAGCAGAAATCAAGTTCTCTGTACCATCTATCTTAAATTCGCAATCAAATTCTACGCCAAAAGCAAGACATTTTAGAATTGAGTCATCCCTGTTTTCACTGTAGCTTTAATTATGAATCTTTATTCAGAACTTTAAGTGCTAACACATTTCAAAGTTTACAGAAAACCAATTCCATAATATCTTCAACTAATATTATAACATAATAGTAGAATTTTTAAACACCACACGAGAAAATGCCAATGCGGGTCCAAGGCAAGGTGTAGGTAGCCTTGTAATTAAAAAAATGTGAATTCATATACCGTTTCCTTCCACCTTTGTGTCAATTTAGCATTTAAAATATAATTACAAATCGTTTATCGAGTTGATTACGTGATTTGCTGACGATAATAACTTCATCCGCAAGAAGCACTGCGTTGTGTACGAAAAGAGACCGGCTCGCTGGACACAAAGGTGGAAAGACACGGTATATGAATTCACATTTTCAAAATTACAAGTATGGGCTACCTACGTCTTGTCTTGGACCCGCATTGGCATTTTCTCGTGTGGTGTTTAGTTTTATTTGTCTTACGTGAACTCTATTGTAGAATTTTTAAACCCTAATTCTTTTGAAATCTATAAACAAATGTCTTTCTTTTTTCCATGTCCCTTATATATCAGTTAAACAGGTTTCGCTAAAGTAGAATTCCTTTTACAGGGTCTGTCGCCCGTAGAACTTTATCGTACCGTCGAACGCGGACTGATATGCCACTTTAAAGGCGGCAATTTGTGCGCAAACGTTTCCCGCCACGGGTGGATCTTTCTGTTCGCGTACGTCGCCTTCGCGATCTCGATCCTCAACTTCCTGTCGTTGTGCGAAAGCGCGGTGTTCAGCGTGGCCACCGTGACCGTCTCGCTCCCGCTGTCCGGTATCTGGTGGAGCCTTTACAGGATGGACGTCGGTTTACACGGGGGTAAATACGTGATGCATGAAATGTTGTAGCTTCAGCTTGCGTTTTGCTTGCGATTTGCCTCGCGAAACTATGTATTTATCGACAGCTAAGTATTTTGCTACTGCGCTTATTGTAGGTGCGACAGTAAACCGTTTGCTGTGGTTTAGAAATTTATAGTTGTGACAGCAAAATATTTTTAGCAAACCACGATTAGCTACGGTAGCGAAAAATTTTTTTCCTTGCAGCACAGATAAATTTATTCAAATTTGTTCCCTTTTTACGAATTATATGTATTTCTAAATTAGACCTCCAAATTTTTAACTCTCAACTCGGAAAAAAAGAATGTTCTTCTTTTGAAAATGTGTTCAACGTGAAAATCTTGAAATGAGATTATATTGCATTAAAGGAAGACAAACTTACTTCAGTGAAGCAATTTTCAATTGCTTCAATATTTTCAAATCAAAGGTTATAACGATTAACATACTTTTATTGTCGAAATAATTACATGCATACTTGAAGTGGCAATTGTAGTATTTAAATAAGACTGAAATATTGTTGGAGTGTAGGGTTTTTAAATACTTCTAAGAAGATTGTAGATTGTTGCGTATACGCAAAACAATGAACGCGTTAATCTGAATGTATAAGGCCTGGTTGCACGAACGTCGCTTAGATTTAACTTTAGCTTATTTCACTCTTTGTCTCTTTCTAAGGGAAACAGTTGGAAAGCGACGAAGAGTGAATTAAGCTACGGTTAAAATTACGTGACGTTGGTGCAACCGGGCCTAAGAGTTGATCCGACACTTATTCTTTTTCTGTGAATTTCAAAGAGTAACGTGACACACATCGTCACTTTCTCTTCGCTATGCTTCTCGAAGATCGATTGATTTGAGCGTGTGATTGCCAAAGCCAAAGTTCTGAGGTAAACGTTGAAACAGGTTCCATTTCCTGGTCACCGGGAGTGACGGGCGAGCTGATCTGCGCCTTGCTCGGCCTTCCGGTCGTGCTGCTCGGCCTGGGCCTGCTCGTCAGATCGCACTTCAGAGACACCCAACTTCCCTATCAGACCATCCAGCCGCCCGACATTCAGCCGTACGAGGCCTGTCACAGATGAATCTCCCTTTAACGTCCAGCCCGGCCTCGCGACGAGGTCCGCACCACTTGCGGTGATCCACGGAAATGAATTCTGATCGATTCGACGGGTGCGACGATAAGAGCCGCTCTCGCGTCGAATCGATCGGAACGGACGATGCACCGAGACAGATTTCACCGAGCCGGAGTAATAATGTTATTGTTGTACACTTGACAGATATATTTTGTCGACTGTTCCCAGATTGCGTCGATGCCCTTCCTTCGATCGCGAGGTCATCAAGGTAAAATGAGATCTTCGATTCGGCCGCGCACGTATGTTCTTGTCGCGTGCTAAGATACACGTGCATCGATGGCAGACGGTTGATTCGACGTCAATTGACTTTGGCCGCAAAGCAACCCAGCTTTCTTTCTTTCGAAATGAAGAGTTAGAGAAGAATTAACTTATTTTTATTAAGGAGAACAATTTATTTATCGTAAACCGAGTTGTTATTGCATTTTTATTGCATCAAATAATATTTTATTAACGTCAAGATAATTTAGTGGCTAAAATCCTCATAATTAGGATTGAACTAGGGCCAAGATTAGTTGACGTTGTTCGAAAAAACCAGCTGACAATTACTGGACGGTGCTGAAAGTCTGACTATTGTTAAATGCAATTTATGCGCGCGTGCATACAAATTTCATTTTTCCCGAGGACTCGTAGCGCGCGCGCGCATTTGTGATAAGAAAAAGGCGGCAATATCGATAACTACCCGTACGAAAAGAAGAAGGGTGCGGTGGTCGCGCGGGAAAGGAAGGAGAACGAAAGCGATCAATGTTTCCTACGTAGTTGCCAAACGCGAACGTCCGCGCCGTTACGCGCGCGCGACAACGTTATAGCCGATTTATATTTTATTTTGATAACGAGATGTTTTATATATTTTCGAACAAGTTCAAATTACACGTGTTGAGAACCGGGGTAGAAAGATAACGAGGCAGAGGGCCCGAAAAGGTTTCTAGCTGCGAGCCTGTGTGCACGGGAGTTCCTTTAAGAGCGTTCCAATCCCACTTGACTTCCGAACTTCAGTGTCGCCGTTCTCGAATTCGTACGTTTGCGAAAATAAAAGTGGAAGTGGAATATACGAGGGCCGGCTTTGCGATGATTAGCAGAACTTTTAATCGGCCAGTTATCCGAAGAATTGCGAGCATTTCTTCCATTTCCGCGTTTCTTAAATTCACTCTTTCCAATACTTAACGTGTACAGTGATGGACAGAATTTCTTTTAATGAGTTTAGGAACCCGAGAAATAGATCGGAAATGGTTCCGGAATGGCCATCGAGTAAGATATTCCTCGGAGAAGAAGATTTTGAAACGTGATCTTCAATCAAATGCATGTTTCTAATCTCATAAAAAAGTGTCACAACTATGCTCTACATTTTTCTCTACTCTCTAAAAGTCAACCAGCGCATTATCGTTGATAATGAACGTGTGATTCAGTGAGAATATTCGCTGTTTTCGGTGATAATCCACTGATTGACTCTTAAAGAGTAGAATCGAACCGCAAGCGACTCTCAGAGAAGCTCAATCTCGTCATGGTGTAACGAATTTGCACCGCGATTATTCGTCTACTTCTAATGTCCATCTCTACCATGAACTTTGACCTCGGTTTAACTTACTTTTTATCTTTTTCTAGTTTCAGAAATTGGGAAAAGATGAAAGGCAAGTTTAACCGGGGTTAAAGCTATCTGCATTGGTAGAAATGGGCATAAATCGGAGATATCAGTTTAATTTAATTAACGACAGTCTCCGGTCCTGTGCCAATCGAATAGTCGATCTCTGTTAAATGTCCCACGTGTATTCGCTAAACGATACTGCTGAGATACCGCCGAGTAGGAAGCGGGTAGAGAAATTCCCTTGACGAGGTTGAATCTTGAGAGGTCGGGTCGGAAGCTTAGCTCCGATTCGCACGTCGAGGAACATTCGTGCACGCGGATGTAGACGACACTGCAGTTCGCGAAGGACAGAGAGACTTGCGAGAGAACGGTCCGTTACGCCTGCAGTTGCGGTTTGCAGCTTCCACGTTCGGAATAAAGTAATAAGGTAATAAGCGAGCGAGACTGAGATACGCGCGCACGTATGCGTGCGTGTGTGATTTTCCCCTCTACTACGTTTCCGCTAACGTTAGACAGTTACTCTGTCAGTAACTTGAGCGCACAAACTGTTACAAACTAATTGGGTCCTGGCCGCGCGCGGTAACTTCGCCCTGCTATCAACCCGCAAAACTCGTCGCGCGTTCACGGAAGTTTCCAAATAATGTTAACCGGCCCGTTTACGCGCCGTTAGCAAAAATTTTCCGCCAAGGCGTGTCTTCCTCCTCGCCAATCACTGTGCCAATTACGCGTGGCCGCGTTCTCCTCCTTTATCTCTGTGCCTGCGAAGACGCAAGGGCACGTCTCTCCCTCGTAACTAAATTGCCCGTTCGCTTTGCAGAAAGAATAACTTTCGTGAGTTTTTCTACGTGTTGTACCTCGTTTTCGCGGCAAGATTTTACTCTCTAATAATCAATCGGTCAATTATCACCGAAGACAGTGAATAGTCTGCGATTTTCAGTGGTGCACTTATAACTGCAAGTCAGTGACTGTTCACTGTTGTCAGTGATAATCCACTGATTGACTTTCAGAGAGTACGTTTATCGAACGATCGTAAATTTGTTACATTATTTTTTTCTTGGATCACTATCGCTGGCTTTTGCTTTAACACTGCATTCCCTTTCAATATTTCAAGTTTCCTGTCGCTTTCTATATTCTTATCTTTTACAAACCGCTAATATATTTTACGTTGCCACTTTCTCCCAACGATCAGTATAAATGTGAGAAGTTAATTTTTACTTTATTATCAAAAAATATTCTTTCAATTATAATTTCTCACTTCACTTTTTCCCGGTTTGCCTGCCTCTCGGCTTCAGTTTAACCGCGAGACGCCCGTCGGTTGTCATAAATTTTCGTGGAACTAACTCCTCACTCTCTGTCTTCAGAACTCCCGCTTACTCTCCCGGGAGTGAAATAACCAAATAATCAAACTTCTCTGAAAGAACAAAAAGGAAAATCAAAAGTTCAAAAGCGGCTCAGAGCGATCTCACGGAATGAAGAAAAAGAATATTCGTGCCAAAAACTCGCGAGTCTCGTACGACTCGACTTAAGCTAAGTATTCTATACGCGTTTGCATAGTGGTCGCATTACTATTTCGACAAAATATTAATAATAACGATGATGAGATAATAACAAATAGTAATAACGTGTAAGTGTCGTTGTTTATGTCAGGTGTCGATTCGCGACACGTACGCGGCGTAGCTCGTTGACAGCGATTATTGAATTCAGGCTGTAAGTTAAGTAGACCGTAAGTCAGAGGAAGATATTAACTTTGTTGGAAGTGTGTCAATATCGTATTCTATACAGGAAGGAAAACAGCTATACGTCCACATTTTTTACAGTAACAGTAATGGCGAGGCGTTTTAAGGGAAAGTAAGAAACTAACTAACTAACGGCGCTGACTGAGTGCAACGATAATAAAGTTAGTACGCCATTCTCTCCTTGTTGCAGTCAGTAGCTTCGTCGATAAATCGACTACCGCTGAATGTCATAGTAATAGCCCTCGTAATGAAGTTGAATATACTCTCTTGTGCTGTGTCTAACATAAATATAATTAACCGAAGGCTTTAGCACAGGTAAAAAAAGAATCGGCGAGATCGATTTACGAACTTTTTCTTTGGCGGAAGAGGAAACATCTCGTTATTGTGGGGAGGATCTGTCAGTTGCGTCATTTTTTATTTCCAGCAAGGTCTTTGCTTCACTCGTCGCGAATTAGAGAGAAATTTACGCGAAATTCAAAATATTTCCGTAGCGTGCCAAAGCCCTCAATTTTAAACATGTACAAGAACAGTTTCTGCATATGTACTTTGTACACATATATACACACATATATATATTTGTTAATTCTTGAAAATGCGGCGTGTAGCATAGAGATACAATTTATTTATAGATGCCAATATATATATACATATACGTCGCACAATTAACATACGCTGTATACATATAAGAGTTCAGATGAAGGAATTGAAAACCGCAATTTGAAAAATTGCTAAACTCAACATTACCCTCGTTCGTCCTTGTTCGATTCCGGTAACGAGACTGAAACGAAGATGCGAAATTCGCGCTGCGCACTTGACTCCCCCAAACTGAACATTGAAATGCAACAATTAAATCGCATTAACTTTCCTCACGCCAGGACTCCGCGCGGAAGCACGCTTAATCGACAAATAATACTTTCGATTTTAACGTCGGGATGCAACATTTCGCATCGGTTTCGCTTCTCTCTACGTACGCCGTGTTGAGTGAAATCACCTGGACGTAGAAAAATTAGAAAACGGTTGTAAATTATTTTGCAAGTTGGGATTGTTGATCTCTTTAGAAATTCAGCATTTGCACGTAAACCGTAACGCTGCTGATTAATGCTCGTTTCCATTTTCTGCGAACTAAAAAATTGTCGTGTTGCATTTTTATTTATTTTTTATACGACGAAGATGTGAGATAAAATATCTCTTTTTCTCAAAAAGTCAAAAGACGTGGATATTTGTAGCAACGTATTACGAAATATTCATTTTACAATAGCACACTGAAAAAAATTTCTGGTTGAATATGGACGAATCAGATAATTCCTTTAGGATTTACCAGAATTCCTTTAGGATTTACCAGAATTTCTGTAGGATTACAGGATTTACCAGAATTCCTGTAATCCTACAGAAATTCTGGTAAATCCTAAAGGAATTCTGGTAAATCCTAAAGGAATTATCTGATTCGTCCATATTCAACCAGAAATTTTTTTCAGTGCAGTGATAATATATCACTTTAATCTTTATTATAGCATTTTACGTAAAGAATAATTTATTATTTTACTGCTTTGTTTCATGCCTTGTGTATGTGACATGAAGATTCTCGTGATCAATGATACAAAAATGTTGTACAAGAAATGCAATAGCAAGTTTTCATTGATGTCAGAATGACAGTAGACGATCGTGTATCTCGCACTGTATTCCCTTGAGATCGCTTTAAAGCGATTTTCTCAGCGAGAAATGATTCATCGATCGATGTCGAAACGATGTCGAGTCGACGTCGACATCATTTCACAGTGGGTTATTAATAATCATATACACTGGGTGTCTTTCCAACGCGCAAAGTTCCGATCATAAAGTCTTCAGGGAAGGGACACGCGTATCGTTTTTAGAAAAAAAAACGGTCTGGCCATTAATGATAATTAACTGAAAATTTCTCGAACACGAAAATGAATATTGTAAGCAATAGGCTAGTCATTTCTACACAATGATTCCATCGTTGGCTGTTATGAACACGTTAATATATCCGCGAAAACGCGGAAGCTAACATTACATTATTTGTATGTGACTGTTATCGTCTTCTGCGGCTTTATCGAAGCACCTGTAGACGTAATCGCGATCCGATCGTTGTGAATTGTCCAAGATAATACAGGCTACTTGTTGTCCAATATTTCGCTTGGGATTTGTTAACGACGCACGTCACGTCGCGTCGTTGTAATTTTGTGAAAGGTAATATACAAAAATGAGAAGTTTCGCTCAAAATTGTGATGCCGTCTCCATATATTGCTGTTGTGAGCGCTTCCGGTCGTGAGTATGTTATATTAAATGTGCTAATACACATATATATACTTATATAAAAGTTATTGTTGTATCTTTTCCTCCTGCCACAAAAGTTCATCGTTTACAGTTAATTTCATCAAGCTACAGCAATAAGGTGGCCGATTGAGTCTTTCTCTGTTACAATTAGCACACTGTAAAAGAGAGTGTAAAGTTATAAATATAAAAATTGCATAATTTATGAAGGAAACGATATCAATTTTTGCACTTGATACAGTTTCACAGATTCTTTTTACAGCGTAGAAGAAATGAATGAAGGAATGGACGATGTTCTTTAAACAATTCTCGTGGAATTAACTGACAAAGATCATTTTCGAGACATTTTATTTAGGTTTTTTTACTCAGTATGGTGTGTCCTATCTACCATATAAATATTGAATGGTTTTTTGTAACACCCTGTATATATAATATATTATAATTCACACAGTGTTAATTTTTAGGAACAGCCACACTTGAACTGTAGTGTTGATTTTAAGTTGATTAATGCGCTCGTGTGTAACATTATTATTTGTTATTTTATGTATCACATTTTATATTCTATTAACAGTATGCTGCAAATTATTCTTCTACAATATATAATATTTCTGAGAGGCAGAAGAATATATAATATCTAAGAAGATTGTAAGAAGAATCGGAAATGTTAAAAGAGAATTGCGTAAAATTTCAAACAAATTTTTTAACAAATAATGTCAACGTGTTAATGTTTTTACAAATGGAAATTATGTGACGAAACTTTCACCGTGACACTAAAGTGACGTGTAAAAAATTTTGAATTTTGTTATAAAAGTTTTCAAAACTCACCGATAAAAAATGTAAAACAGTACATATTTTTTAATTTTATGCACTTTTTATATTTCTGATTCGCCTTACAACCTTCTGAATTAAAATACAACGTTTCTCTCTTTTCAGAGTAAATTTTAAATATTAATGCCTTCGTTTTGATATAGAAGCGAATGACTGTGTTGATGTAAAATCCCAGAACGAAAACCGATGTCATCAGAGCTTGCGGGCAGTTAATTTGGCCGTTTTATGCACATTGCCTATTCTATCAGACATCTTCTTGCCGCCACGTATGTAATCTTCGTACCGCACCTCGGCGAGTGTCTCAAAGTTTAGCTTTTCCATGATTCGTTGGCTGAACGTCGAGGCGGCGACGGCGAAAGCCACCTCCGGTCGCGCGTGTTCGTTGACGATTTCGTCAGCTACGCAGATCTGCTTCAACTTCCTGGCGCGCAAACCCCGCGCCACTTCGAGGCTCTTCTGCGTGATTTCCAGACCGAGACCGCGCTCCTGACATTTCGGATCCGTGCCTATGTAGAAGATTTCCATGGCACCTCGCGCGTTGTATTTCTGTAAGATGTCTACTCGCGATTCTACCTGATAACGAGAGTAACGTGATTTAGCATTCGTAGCGAGCAATAAGCTTATTGGAATCGATCGTGTGTATTTCTTAGATTAGATGATTAAAAATTACTATTTTAGAGAAAGAGAGAGAGAGAGAGAGAGAGAGAGAGAGAGAGAGAGAGAGAGAGAGAGAGAGAGAGAGAGAGAGAGCAACTTTGTCAAATTAATCGTGAATTCGATCACGCACTTTTTTCAAATTATTCATAACGTTTTATGAGAAAATTTGGACGAAATTAGTTTTGTTCTATTTTTCGGTAGTGTAGAACCGCGGGGGTATGTTCGGATTTGATAAGACGGCTATTTTAAATCTTGTTTCATGTACAATTGATGATGCCAAGTTTGATTTATAGTAACAGGAAAGTTACTCGGCGCTGAAAATTGTTATGCGCAAACGGAATTCTTTTAATGAGACGGTACGTGCAAAATGGCCTCCCGAAGATTAATTAATAGTACGCGTAGCAGCGATCGCGATAGCTACTTATCGTTATTTGCGAAAGAATTTTAAGATCTATAAGGAAACTAGAGCGCTCGTGTTGACATTGTTGATTGCAGCGTGTGTAAAATGATATAAATCACGAACTCACGTCGTCGATGAACTCAATCAGATCCCGGCACGAGCGGTGCTTGATGTTATTTTCTATAAAAATTGCGAGGGGATCCGTTTCTTCCGACTGGGGAGGCATCTGAAAATACAAGTAGATATCTCAGAGATCGGTGAAATCCAAAAGAAATGGCAATTAATTTTTCTCTACTCCGACGTCTTTATTTTATAACACATGGTGTATACAAATATCTTCTTTTATCTAATCGTCTTCCAAAACACCGACGTTTCATACGACACTGCGATTGTTCGCGATAATCGAAAGGAGTGTCAAGCCAGCGAAGTAGCCGATCGCGGGTCGTTAATTTATCGGACGGTGGTCAATGATAAAATCTGCGACACGCCACAAATCAAGTCACATTGTTACACCAACGATTTATGCCGATATCTAAGATCGCGCTTGTACTTGCATGTAACTTGTTGAACGACACGGCGACAACGCGATCCGAGCGATCGACCGCGATCACCGTGCACCCGTCCTTGATGACCTCCCTGAAGACCAGCTGCATCTCTTCAGGAGCTCCCGGATCCTCGTACATGCCCATGCCGATTGCGATGCACTCTTGTCGCATGGACTGCTGCTGTACGGTCATGGCATCCTCGATTCTGTCCTTGGTGAGCAGCCTGAACTCGATGGTGCCTGTGCGATCGGTGCCGAGGCAGACGGGCATCGTGCCTTCTGGGGATTCGCCTGGAAGAAACGCTACGGCATCACTATAGCTGATCGATACACGCGCAAGTTTATCACGCTCGTCTTGCGCATCCCGTCCCGTTGTCTTGTTTTCCATCAAGCGTTGTATCGAGTTCGACGGAAAAGAAAGAGAGGAGCTTAAGCCGCGTTTACCTCCCGGCATTATTGAGCGTGAGACACTATAGTATAAAGGACCACAAAAATCAAATACGAAATCTTCTATCCGAAATATATTAAATGCTAATTCCAAGTAAAAAGAAGTAAGAGGATAGTTACGGAAAAGTATCTGCGAGGCAAAAGTGTTCCACTGCTCTATCACATTTCGTATAACGTGCAACTGTTCCAACTCAAGGTGCTCGCAACTCTTGAAATGCACACGTTTTACGCGTATCTTCGGTACGTTGTACAAATGTTTTATATTAATTTAGCATTTATGGAGAAAAATTTCATCGAGAACGGCCGAGACGCGAAGGAGTGCAAGCGAGGCGAAACTTGACTTTGAAGCATCGGAAGGCGATCTTACCGAGTCGAGATTCGCTAGCGGTGTCTACTGTCGACGGAACGCCGGGGTATCGCCGGGAGATAAAAACTGCATCGCTCGAGTCGCTCCCCATTATGCACGTGCCGTTTTGATTGCAGACACTATCGTAACAACACGAAGCAATTGTCAATCGGCCAGTTGCGCGTACACCTGACCATCCGAATCGCTGGAAAGCGTCGCGTCTAAGTTTCTCGCGTTATCGTTATCGCATTATCATTTTGCCACGGTAGATACGTAGGAAAATTTCGCGCCTTATCGCCGATAGATCTAATTTTCCGTGAAAAGGCGAGATGCAAGGTTCTGATTTATCCAACCGCTGTGAAGCAAGGCGATCTGATTTTTATTGCTTAATTCTGCACACAATGCGCTGTTTACAATACCTTACGATTTTACAGCATTTGCGTGACATATTTTAATGAGTACAAGATATAGAGTGCTTAGATCTATAATTCACTTAAGATATCTGGATAAGATACCAACTATCATGTGCATAGTGTGGACAATATATAACGAGCCTCTATTTTGGACGTATACGTTTCTGTTAGTTGCGTTTTGCTAATTGTAGAGAGCACACACGTAAATTACTTGTGAAACGTTGCACGACACAGCAACGGAGAGAGAGAAGAGCTGCAGAATTGTTGGGAGAATCAGTCTGAATTTTTATTCAGCGCAGCCTTCGAATTTCTATTCATTCCTTCAATATCGAATCGACGTCGAATTTGACAGCGTCGATGTCGATTCGACATCGTTTCGACATCAATCGAGGAGTCACTTTTCGCTGAGTCGATTCGCTGTGATTCGTTATAGCATTTTTGCAAATAGTATTGTGCAACAGGTAACTAGTATATTGTGTAACTTAATTCATAAAAGTGGCATTATGTGATTTCGATAAGGACACAATAAAATACTTCGTATAATACGTTATATAATATAGGATACGGCCGATTTTATGGTCGCCATTGTACTATCGCACGCGAATGAAATCTCTGATATATTCTCCCTCACATTTGATTACGTTCTTTTAACATCAGACATGTCTGTCGAGTATTATCCTAATTCTATTCGGATTTTACTATTTTAACAATGCGGCATCAATTTATCCGTCCATTGTGACGCATTTATATGCACGCATCGATAAAAAAGCGAGATATTTCGACCGCATACAACGTCATTTTCTTCACTCGATACAATTGTTCCTTATGTGTATAAAATTTCGCCTCTCCTAATTTCTTGGAGTTCTTCGTCAAACTTAACGCGCAATTATTGCTTACGAAATACAATACAACATTAACAGACGACGGATTATTTATCTCTTTATGCTTTTATGAAATTTGAGTCTCCTATAAAATCTTTGAATCTTTCGATTGCTCCAATTCACGTGGCATATTTTCTCTATCGTAAGATTTTTACTCAAAAGAAAATATTATCGTGAACAAGTTGATAAGCAAAATGAAGTACGCTTCCGTACATACAGAAACAGACACCAGCTAATATTACAAACCTCTGATATTTTGGAGCAACAATAGATATTACATCTTGGAATAATAACAGATACATTTTCCAAAATAATATCTTTTATTGCACCTAATTTGCATAATTTCTAAAAATTCGATTGAGTATTGCGATGTGAGGAGAGAAGTTCTCTGTTTAAAACTATTCGTGCGATCAGTATCTAAATCGGTCAGAGTCTCTTGGCTACCAAGACAGCCTGTCGGTGTTCCTGGCTTATTCTCTCGCTGTACTTCTTTCCGTTGTGCTCGTAATCGTCGTATGAAACTTCCAACAGCGCGTTGAAGCACAGTTTCATTGCGATCCGATACGAGTAATTGGAAGTCATGATAGCGGAGACCAAGGCTGGCACCGCGGTGGCGTTCGTCATCTCGTTGCTGCCGTGTACCGTGATGGGTATCTTCACGTGTTTATCGCGACTCAGCTCCTTGCCGAGCTCCAACGATGAAGCGATCAGCATCTCGCCTATGCGTCGCTTCCCATAAGCGGGTAGAGTCGCTAGAAACATGATTTCGAGGATGCAGTTGACTTTGTAGTGCTTGAAGAGGTCTATTCGCGAGTCCACGTCTATCATGAAGTCCGTCATACCCTTGGACGATTTGTACCGGCAGTTGTCGCTGAAATTCTCGAAGAAACTTTTCTCGGAGCTGTTGGTGGTCACCTGAAAAATGAATAGCCGTCGAAGACACTTGAGATAGCAAGCTACGAATCCCAATAATCTTACGTCGAGAAGCTTCGTTACGAAAGTGCAGCAGTTGATCTATTTTTAAAAACGAGATGCAAAAACGTTATACTGTGAAGGCGGTTGCTCACTCACTTGGATTTTGTTGAAGGCGACCCCGATAACTTCGTTGGTGGTGATGTCGATAGCCACCACACTCACGCCATCCTTAGCCGCGTACAAGCAGAGCTCCTCGAGTTCCTCGGGTGCTCCCGGTTCAGAAGTCAATTCCAAGGCTACGCATACGGACTCGCCGGGAAAGAAGCTCTTTCTTAACACGTTGAGAGCACCCTCCAGGGTCTCGTCCGACAAGGACTCGAATTCTATCTGGCCGTTCTCTATCGAGCCCCACGGCCGATAATGGGACATCCTTTTGCGCGTGTTGCTGAAAACCAAGCGCGTTCCCGTTGGTTATTTCGACGAGTGACGCTCTAAACTTGGAAACGTTATTGATCACATAATAAATTGATGGAACGTATAGTTAGGCCCGGTTTCACCAACGTCGCTTCCCAGTCAGAAATGACTCGCCGATCGACAAGTCATTTCTCGCTGGGTTAACTTTAAGCTGAGTTTAATTCGTTCTTTGTCTCTTGCCAGCTGTTAGACTTTAGAAAGAGGCAGACGTGAGTTAAACTACGATTAAAGTTGAGCGACGTTTGGTGAAACCGAGCCTTACATTATTAAAACTCGAGTCACAGCTCGGATTACAGGTCACCAGTTTTCTTCCTCAAACCACGAATTTGTTACGAAAGAGAAACACTTTCAGATTACACTTTCGCGATACCGTTTTCTATCAGAAACTTGCCGATCTATTTTCCCAGAGTTTGTACTATTAATCACACTTCTCGCGAGGAATTAAGTTTCTCAATTGTAGAGCACTGTTGCGCTCATTCGGTCAGCAAACTGATTTATCGCGCGTCAGTGACGAACGAGATTGACCTCGATGACATGCACGCTGAGCTACTTGTATAAAAACACGTTTGTTTTACACAGCGATAACGAAAAGTATCATATCTTTTCAGGGGCATTTTCGAACCCGGTTTTGACGTAGCGAACACTGAAAAACAATTTACTTTCCATGACTAATTATGATTTGCCAAACCTGTTTTACTGCCATAGCTATAAATTTCTAAACCACAACGAACGGTTTGCTGTCGCACCTGATACAATACGCACGAGATATTATAGCGATCACGACTAAATATTGGCTGTCCATACAACTGAAATTTAGTTACCACCTGCAGTGTTTAGCTACGGTAGCAAACTTTTTTACAACGAGAGTAAGTAAATTTTAGAAAAATTACTATGAACAAAATAACGATTATAACCGGAAGCCTCGGGAGCTTAGGTGCCAGATGCCTTGGTCAATTCAATTGTTAAATTAATTTAAACTGAGTTAAATTGAGTGAAACCGCGACTCTTTGACGCAATAGTGAACTCGACGGTCAAGAATATTACCTCATTTTGACAGCGAGATCTCAACACAGTGACCGCTTGTCGTATACTGAGAGGCTTCTCGTGTTTGCATGCATGAGACCATTACGACAGTTAACGACTTACTCAATGATAGCAGGGCTGCGTGTAGTTTTAGGCGCAACAGTTGGAGCTCGGACTGGCACGACGGAGACGATCGCGGGTATTTAACAAATGAGTCGTAGGGTAATATTCATCATCGGATAATAAATGATAATAAATGTAATAATGAACAGCGATTAAGGCAGAAGCGGAAGATTGTTAGCGAGAGTGTATCTCGCGCGCGTCCAACGAACCTACGAGATAAGCACGATCCTGATAATATTATATAATAGGCAACGCAACGCAATAGCATTTTCAACGCAGCCTTTTACTTTATTCACGTGATTATGCGTGGAACTTGTATCGCGACCCCGATTATTATTCGAAGAAATTGACCCCTGTCCGATGAATATATGTATGTGTAATATCCGATGCAACGAGAAACGCGGCGTATCGACATCTCGTCGCGCGATAGTATGATTTACTTGGAATCATTCTCTTAATGAGGCATGGGGGGGACTCTCGATTAGACACGCGTGAGTCCAGTCCCCTTAACTTAATCGAAACGTTCTACGTTCTGCACCGACACGTTTGTAACCAAGTATGCGAGAAAATACACCCTAGCGGAAAAAAATGTCTATAAATAACTACAAAATAGAAATTTGTAGAAATTTTTATATCCTCGTTGAAACATTAATTTTTTTTGTATTTTTGTAAAAATATCCACGACATACCACTAAAAAGAACTGCAGGTGTTAACTAAATTTCAATTTTAAAATATGGACAGCTAATATTCAGTCGTGATAGCTAATATTTCGTGGGTATTGTATCAGGCGCGATAGCAAACCGTTCGTTGTGGTTTAGCAATTTATAATTGTGGTAGCGAAACATGTTTAGCAAATCTTATTAGCTATGGTGGACAAACCACAAATTACAATGTTTTCAAATCAAGAAATTATTGCAAGTAGTATTTCATGAAAATGTACAATTTTGTAAAAATTAGTACAAAAGCTTTAGCAGTTTAAAAAAATTGAGAAGCAACAAAATCTTAAAGAATTAAAACGTCTGCTTACTTGTAGAATGTTACAAAAATTAACAAAAGTGTTCCAATTCTAGCATTTTCGTGTTGATTTTTATAACACTTTTTGAAGTTACGTAAAATTTCTTCTTTCTTTTTCTCTTTCTTAGATTCTGGCAGCTATATTTTCTAGTTTTGTAGAATTATTTACGGCAGGGTAACGCGAGGATTCATCTGAAATGTTGAGGAAAGTTCCCTGTTATGAGGCACGATAATAATTATTTAACAGTTTAATAGCAATATTGATACAATTTAAGACGCACGATTTAAGAAAATGACCAATCGCAGTCGCTTATTCTCCTCACGTTCGATTGCGATAGGTCAACTGTTTTACCGGCACGTTCGAATAGTTTTTACGCTTGTAAATCTTTTCATTGGCTTTTATGCACCAAATAATACCAGGATAAGTTGCGAACCGCGTAGCATAAAGTTTTCAACTTTTCATTCGTGAACAATTTGAAATTGGTTTTATGAAAGTGCAAACTTCTTCCACGCGACTAAAGTACGCGTGAAGACAAAATCAGGGACAGTCGACTCTATATAAAAAGCGAAGAGCAATTAAAAGTATCGCCAGTAAAAGGAATTGCAAGGGCAAAAACTATATTTGAATCCGTCGATAAAAAAGATGGGGCCCATTGTAGACGCCGCAAATTGAGATTCCGTTTCGAAGTCGAACGCGGATTACAGATCGCGGCTCAATTTATATTCAGCGGCGTAAGTCCCAGTCTACAATAGAGATTTAAGCCCTAGGCCTTAAGAAATTGACTAATCACAGTCGCGCATTCTACTCATACTTGACCGTGATTGGCCAATTTCTTAAAGCTTATGGCTTAAATCATCTATTGTAGACTGGGACTTGCGGGAAGGCGACGGGTGTACACCGCTCGCCCCGCGCACTCGGTCCGCGTCCAATTGAATTTGCGCGCCGCGAGTGATCGCGCGATGCGGACGCGCCTTGCGGCGGAGCGCGCAAGGCCGGCGGCGCGCGTGCGCGGCTCGCGCGCGACAAACAAAAGTAAGATGGCCGACCAGGGAAACAAATAGAGCGCCGTCGTAAATAACACGAGTCGTCCGCGAACACGTACCGAGCGTGGGGCCCCGTTTACATTCGCGCACGTGCGTTCGCGCGACTTAAACGCCCGGCGGTCGGCGAGTCGGCGTTCCGCGGTGTCCGCTCGGGCCGACGGTGCCGTTTCCCCGCGTGACTCCGTACGAAAACTCGCGCGCGCGCGCGCGCGCGTGTGTCCGCACGCACGCACGCACGCACGCTTGCTCACTCGCTCGCTCGCGTACACAGCGTGCTCCGGTGATCCTCGCGCCCACGAGAGAGTCCTCCCTCCGCCACTTCCTCCCCCTCGTTGACGCGACGCGCGGCGACGCGCGCGTGCCGCCGCGCGCTCCGGAGCCGGGGGTTGCCGAGACACGCGGCGGTGGCGAGACCCCACCGAGAGAAGGAGAGAGAGAGAGAGAGAGAGAGAGGAGG